ACTGGTGACTGGTGGTGACTAGGAGGGTGAATGATGTAAGCTTCGCCCGCAGTCCTAACCACTGTTCACTCATTCCTTGGTAGCAGTTCCATCACTGAACTTTATGATCACCCCTCGTATTTCTACATTGAGCAAAACATTTTCATTTACTAATAATGAATTGAAGTAGGTACATATAGCTATTGTCACAGTCTAGACATAACGTTGCTGTTTAGTATTTATGTTAGAGGGCAAACATTGACTCATATGATAATAAATCACTTTATGTAGGAGTGATGCCTCAACATGTGTAGAGTATAGTGGCTCAGATCAAGATGAGTAAGAATAATGCCTTATACGCCAACATATGTAGGAGTGTAGTTCTCATGAATTGATGATTGTAAAAGTAATGCCTCATGAAACAAAATGTGAGAATTAGAGAACTAATGCCTCATGGTGGTGTGTGTGTGTGCATGGAGAGAGTAATGCCTCAGATTATCATAAATTCTGTGCAGTAATGGCTCGTAGAATTTTTTCATGAACCTCGTAAAAATTAATGCCTCGTATGTGTGTGGCATAATTCCTCACGGGTCATTTTAATGAGAGGAAATGCCTCGTGTATTAAAGTTAGTAGTCATAAAGCCTCACACACCAGCTAATGCTAAATGTTTGACCCATAAACTCGTACTGACATGTGCAAGAAGTATGACTGTTTGCAAGGTTACTTTTCCTCACACAATGCTGTATGGTGTCTGCTTTAAACCAATAGTCCAATGGCTGTTGATGTCACCCACGTTGTGAATGTAGAGGGTCTGTTGGTCTGTACCTGTCATTCTGTCTGTCTGTGATTCTGAAATAACATCGAAGTAGCTACAGTACTCTGACGATTTTGAAGGGCATGATTTTAGAGTCTTGGGGTCGTGTTGGTCGCTTAGCATGTCACTTTAGAGAGAGAGAACACTGGGGACGTCTGGCATTACTGAGCAAATGCTGGGAACATTTGTTGCTGAGAGAATGCCAGGGAGTTGTGGTACAGCTCTGGGGAGTTCTGGTATCACTCGTACAGCTCTGGGGAGTTCTGGCATTACTGGTACAGCTCTGGGGAGTTCTGGTATTACTGGTACAGCTCTGGGGAGTTCTGGTATCACTGGTACAGCTCTGGGGAGTTCTGGCATTACTGGTACAGCTCTGGGGAGTTCTGGTATTACTGGTACAGCTCTGGGGAGTTCTGGTATTATTGAGAGAATGCGGGAAAGATTTGGCCCTGGCCGTCACCCAGTCTCCAGTTATCGTCTAAGGGAGGATGAGGTGGCTGTGAGTGGCTGCCACCCTCCACACCAACGTCTCCTTCACTACAGTCACCACTGAATCCCTGCTCCTCCCCTTCTCCTTTCTCCTCTACATCCTCATCGTCCGAGTACCCTAGAGACAGCTGTTCCTCAAGATAGAAAGGCAGATGGTTCACGAGAATTGGCTGAGGGAGGTGGTGGAGAGAGAGAGATGGGGAGAGAACACCTACACATATGTCCCCGTCCAGTAGAGGGTCGGGCAGCTGAATCACCAGGGGGTCCACGACTGCCAGGGAGGACCCCGGGGTGTGGTATATCTCAGGGAGGTCTGTTAAGGGGTAGTTGTCGTAGAAGTGAGATGGGTCAAAGTTTCCAGAGACATCAACGTCAACGGGAGTCCCCAGCCCCAAGGAAGGCTGGTAACCCCTGGGGCTGATGGTCTCAACTGGGATACCAGCATCCATCAAGGCTCCATCGGGGAAGTCATGGCCAAGGTCGTGAACAAGGAGGTCATGGCCAATGTTATGAACAGGGAAGTCATTGCCAATGTCGTCTGCTGGGAATCCATGACAGAAGTCAGCAGGTATAAGGTCATGGCAGGAGTCGTCAGGTCGGAGGTCATGAACTGAACACTGACTTAGGTCACAGAGGTCATCGGTCAGTCCCTCGCCACCCGTCAGGAAGCTCGTCTGAAACTGAATAATAACTTATTAAGGTCTTCACCATGAGTGTGCCAGGTGTTCTGCTTAACCATCTTAGATCAGATTATAGTGGCTAATGAATCTCCCACAAGAAAAATGTAAAGTTTCCTCCAGAAGAGCGAAAGTAAAGAAAACGAAAACACCTCAAACATGCCATAATCCCCCCCGCCCCCCAAGCCATCAGAGTTAGGGAATTGTGAAGGAGTTGAGAGAGTTTGTAATGACAGTAAATTACGTTCTCGACGGCGACAGACTGCCTCCTCTACCTTGATGGGATGTGATTAGGGTATATGGTAGAAGCAAATGGTGTTTCGTATCCTTCAGAAAGTGAATATGTAGGTGAACTTTCTGATAAATAGAATTTAATGAGAATGTTGAAAAGTAACTGACTACTCAAGCCGTTCTCAAGTTGCCATTTTAGGACAATAAATAAGGCAACACGATCTATATAACGACCTTTTGTTATAGTTTAGCAATTTTAAGACTTAATAAGATGTCAACAGCAATGTATATAATGAATACAAAGGACAATATTACGTTAGGGATCTGGATTTGTTTTTTGTGTCTTTGGAGTGATGGTGACAGTGTAGTGTAAACCTTGAAGCTAATGTAATAATGAATCGGGTCATACTAGGATAATGATCTGTAATACACTGATACTAATTTGACCTGCTAGTCTCGAGTTGCAGGTCAGATGGTCCTTACCCCCCTAACAGACCTTAGTTAATCATCATCTACCTATCAGGATTAAGGATTATTAGAGGAAAGGTCCCATTAGGATTAGGTCTTGTTTGGGGTTATATAATCAACTTGACCACATGGAACCATTTTCACACCAGGAAATAACTGGCGGCAATTTTCGCAATGAATTGTTTTTGCCCGTTGATAAATCAGACCACAGGAGGCAATGGCTGGCCAGACATAGAGAGGGAAACAGAGACAAGTGGGTAATGAAGAACACGTGTTGTCAGACGAGAATACAAAAAGGCTAAACATACAGGTTTGGAATAATTAGAGTAACCAAAAATATACACAAGAACTTATACAAAACACCAAGGGACATTTCGCCATACACAGACGGCCACACATACTGGCGAGAATACAGTTTACAACATGCTTAACTAAAATGCATTTTTATCATAATATCACTAGTGGAAGAAGTTAATAAAGCTGCCTAATGACTGGGGAGCCGATATATTGGAGAAGTTATCTCAGTGAGGAATGAGCTGTAACACGTGTAATAAAATATACATACAATACATTGTCAGCTCTTTCAGCTTAGTTTCCATCAATAACTGACACACGCTCATAGTGTTCACCATGACACTACACAGAACCAGTACAGTGTAGTAACCATGAATGAAAACAGGAACACGTAGTACTCAACCACACTACTAACGTCATCTACACTACACAGAACCAGTAGAGTGTAGTAACCATGAATGAAAACAGGAACACGTAGTACTCAGCCACACTACTAACGTCATCTACACTACACAGAACCAGTACAGTGTAGTAACCATGAATGAAAACAGGAACACGTAGTACTACAGCCACACTACTAACGTCATCTACACTACACAGAACCAGTACAGTGTAGTAACCATGAATGAAAACAGGAACACGTAGTACTCAGCCACACTACTAACGTCATCTACACTACACAGAACCAGTACAGTGTAGTAACCATGAATGAAAACAGGAACACGTAGTACTCAGCCACACTACTAACGTCATCTACACTACACAGAACCAGTAGAGTGTAGTAACCATGAATGAAAACAGGAACACGTAGTACTCAGCCACACTACTAACGTCATCTACACTACACAGAACCAGTACAGTGTAGTAACCATGAATGAAAACAGGAACACGTAGTACTCAGCCACACTACTAACGTCATCTACACTACACAGAACCAGTAGAGTGTAGTAACCATGAATGAAAACAGGAACACGTAGTACTCAACCACACTACTAACGTCATCTCACTACACAGAACCAGTAGAGTGTAGTAACCATGAATGAAAACAGGAACACGTAGTACTCAACCACACTACTAACGTCATCTACACTACACAGAACCAGTACAGTGTAGTAACCATGAATGAAAACAGGAACACGTAGTACTCAGCCACACTACTAACGTCATCTACACTACACAGAACCAGTAGAGTGTAGTAACCATGAATGAAAACAGGAACACGTAGTACTCAGCCACACTACTAACGTCATCTACACTACACAGAACCAGTGTGTAGTAACCATGAATGAAAACAGGAACACGTAGTACTCAACCACACTACTAACGTCATCTACACTACACAGAACCAGTAGAGTGTAGTAACCATGAATGAAAACAGGAACACGTAGTACTCAGCCACACTACTAACGTCATCTACACTACACAGAACCAGTACAGTGTAGTAACCATGAATGAAAACAGGAACACGTAGTACTCAGCCACACTACTAACGTCATCTCTCATTTCACACACAGTGACCACAACAAGTCTTTCCAAACACACAACAGCACTTGTCTTATCTCTGGTATATTTAACATGGTGACACACTGTGGGGCTGGAAGTTAGTGACACACTGTGGGGTGGTGTTAGTGACACACTGGGGGCTAGTTAGTGACACACTGTGGGGCGAAGTAGACACACTGTGGGGTGGTGTTAGTGACACACTGTGTGGTGTTAGTGACACACTGTGGGGTGGTGTTAGTGACGCACTGTGGGTGGTGTTAGTGACACACTGTGGGGGCTGAAGTTAGTGACACACTGTGGGGGCTAGTGTGACACTGTGGGGTGGTGTTAGTGACACACTGTGGGGTGGTGTTAGTGACACACTGTGGGGTGGTGTTAGTGACACACTGTGGGGGCTGAAGTTAGTGACACACTGTGGGCTGAAGTTAGTGACACACTGTGGGGTGGTGTTAGTGACACACTGTGGGGTGGTGTTAGTGACACACTGTGGGGTGGTGTTAGTGACACACTGTGGGGTGGTGTTAGTGACACACTGTGGGGCTGGAAGTTAGTGACACACTGTGGGGGCTGAAGTTAGTGACACACTGTGGGGTGGTGTTAGTGACACACTGTGGGGTGGTGTTAGTGACACACTGTGGGGTGGTGTTAGTGACACACTGTGGGGTGGTGTTAGTGACACACTGTGGGGCTGAAGTTAGTGACACACTGTGGGGTGGTGTTAGTGACGCACTGTGGGGTGGTGTTAGTGACGCACTGTGGGGTGGAGTTAGTGACACACTGTGGGGCTGAAGCAGGACACACTGTGGGGGTGAAGTTAGTGACACACTGTGGGGTGGTGTTAGGACACACTGTGGGGTGGTGTTAGTGACACACTGTGGGGTGGTGTTAGTGACACACTGTGGGGAAGGAAGACACACTGTGGGCTGAAGTTAGTGACACACTGTGGGGTGGTGTTAGTGACACACTGTGGGGTGGTGTTAGTGACACACTGTGGGGTGGTGTTAGGACACACTGTGGGGTGGTGTTAGTGACACACGTGTGGGGGCTGAAGTTAGTGACACACTGTGGGGGCTGAAGTTAGTGACACACTGTGGGGTGGTGTTAGTGACACACTGTGGGGTGGTGTTAGTGACACACTGTGGGGTGGTGTTAGTGACGCACTGTGGGGTGGTGTTAGTGACACACTGTGGGGGCTGAAGGTTAGTGACACACTGTGGGGGCTGAAGGTGACACACTGTGGGTGGTGTTAGTGACACACTGTGGGTGGTGTTAGTGACACACTGTGGGGTGGTGTTAGTGACACACTGTGGGGTGGTAGTGACACACTGTGGGGCTGGAAGTTAGTGACACACTGGGGGCTGAAGATGACACACTGTGGGTGGTGTTAGTGACACACTGTGGGGTGGTGTTAGGACACACTGTGGGGTGGTGTTAGTGACGCACTGTGGGGTGGTGTTAGTGTCACACTGTGGGGTGGTGTTAGTGACACACTGTGGGGTGGTGTAGGTGACACACTGTGGGGGGCAAAGTTAGTGACACACTGTGGGGCTGAAGTTAGTGACACACTGTGGGGTGGTGTTAGTGACACACTGTGGGGTGGTGTTAGTGACACACTGTGGGGTGGTGTTAGTGACGCACTGTGGGGGTGGTGGTGTTAGGTCACACTGTGGGTGGTGTGGTGACACTGTGGGGTGGTGTTAGTGACACACTGTGGGGCTGAAGTTAGTGACACACTGTGGGGCTGGAAGTTATGACACTGTGGGGTGGTGTTAGTGACACACTGTGGGGTGGTGTTAGTGACACACTGTGGGGTGGTAAGTGACGCACTGTGGGTGTGTTAGTGTCACACTGTGGGTGGTGTTAGTAACACACTGTGGGGTGGTGTTAGTGTCACACTGTGGGGTGGTGTTAGTGACACACTGTGGGGGTGGTGTAGGTGGTGTTAGTAACACACTGTGGGGTGGTGTTAGTGTCACACTGTGGGGTGGTGTTAGTGACACACTGTGGGGTGGTGTTAGTAACACACTGTGGGGTGGTGTTAGTGACACACTGTGGGTGGTGTAGGTGTTAGTAACACACTGTGGGGTGGTGTTAGTGACACACTGTGGGGTGGTGTTAGTAACACACTGTGGGGTGGTGTTAGTGTCACACTGTGGTGGTGTTAGTGACACACTGTGGGGTGGTGTAGGTGGTGTTAGTAACACTGTGGGGTGGTGTTAGTGACACACTGGGGTGGTGTTGGTGACACACTGTGGGTGGTGTTAGTGACACACTGTGGGTGGTGTAGGTGGTGTTAGCACACTGTGGGGTGGTGTTAGTGTCACACTGTGGGGTGGTGTTAGTAACACACTGTGGGGTGGTGTTTGTTTACACTGTGGGTGGTGTTAGTAACACACTGTGGGGTGGTAAGTAGGTCACACTGTGGGGTGGTGTAGGTGGTGTTAGTAACAGACTGTGGGGTGGTGTTAGTGTCACACTGTGGGGTGGTGTTAGTGACACACTGTGGGGTGGTGTAGGTGGTGTTAGTAACACCCTGTGGGGCTGAAGTAGACACACTGTGGGGTGGTGTAGGTGGTGTTAGTAGCACTGTGGGGTGGTGTTAGTGTCACACTGTGGGTGGTGTTAGTAACACACTGTGTGGGGTGTGTAGGTGTGTTAGTAACACACTGTGGGGCTGAAGTTAGTGACACACTGTGGGTGGTGTTAGTAGCACACTGTGGGGTGGTGTTAGTGTCACACTGTGGGGTGGTGTTAGTAACACACTGTGGGGTGTTAGTAACACACTGTGGGGTGTGTTAGTGTCACACTGTGGGGTGGTGTAGGTGGTGTTAGTAACACACTGTGGGTGGTGTTAGTGACACACTGTGGGGTGGTGTTAGTGACACACTGTGGGTGGTGTAGGTGGTGTTAGTAACACACTGTGGGTGGTGTTAGTGACACACTGTGGGGTGGTGTAGGTGGTGTTAGTAACACACTATGGGGTGATGTTAGTAACACACTGTGGGGTGATGTAACACACTGTGGGTGGTGTTAGTAACACACTGTGGGATGGTGTTAGTGACACACTGTGGGTGGTGTTAGTAACACACTGTGGGTGGTGTTAGTAACACACTGTGGGGTGGTGTTAGTAACACAATGTGGGGTGGTGTTAGTGACACACTGTGGGTGATGTTAGTAACACACTGTGGGGTGGTGTTAGTAACACACTGTGTGTGTTAGTGACACACTGTGTGGTGTTAGTACACTATGGGGTGGTGTTAGTGACACACTGTGGGGTGATGTTAGTAACACACTGTGGGGTGGTGTTAGTACACACTGTGGGGTGGTGTTATGACACACTGTGGGGTGGTGTTACTGACACACTGTGGGGTGGTGTTAGTAACACACTGTGGGGCTGAAGTTAGTGACACTGTGGGGTGGTGTTATGACACACTGTGGGGTGGTGTTAGTGACACTGTGGGGTGGTGTTAGTAACACACTGTGGGGTGGTGTTAGTGACACACTGTGGGGTGGTGTTAGTGACACACTGTGGGGTGATGTTAGTAACACACTGTGGGGTGGTGTTAGTAACACACTGTGGGGTGGTGTTAGTAACACACTGTGGGGTGGTAGGTGTGTTAGTGACACACTGTGGGGTGATGTTAGTAACACACTGTGGGGTGGGTGTTAGTGACACACTGTGGGTGGTGTAGTGACACACTGTGGGTGGTGTTAGTGACACACTGTGGGGTGGTGTTAGTAACACACTGTGGGGTGGTGTTAGTAACACACTGTGGGGTGGTGTTAGTAACACACTGTGGGGTGGTGTTAGTGACACACTGTGGGATGGTGTTAGTAACACACTATGGGGTGGTGTTAGTGACACTAAATGTTCTCCTGTAATATACTGGAAGCTTCACAGTCATGATGCCTCGACCAGAGTTGTCTTAGTAACAGGTAAAAGAAGCTTCCCTTTATTGGAAAAAAAAACCTACAGCATACTCTCACATACCAAAACAAAGTTTGACGAGCTTTACAGACGGGCAGGTCTTTGTCGACGATCTTTGGCTACACACAAGCTAACTTTCATACAAGGAGAATAGGTCGTAACTTCACCCTAACTCGACTACAAATAACTGACAAGTTACAACAAATAATATGGTCTCGTAACTTAATCAGAAACTTGTTGTGAAATACAACACAGAAGTGAAATGTAAACTGTAGAAGAATTATTTCTTTTGTTACTTTTTTTATTTTCTACCGTATCACAGAAAAATGCCTTCCACTATTATTAAGGAGGAGGAATACTTACGCTGTTGGTAGTTAATATATAATCAGTGGCGCGGAGAAAGTGTCCATAGTCCCTCTTCCTTACTTCGGACAGATCAGCTGACTGACACGTCTCTCTCATCCTCCCTGGCTAACACACGAGCACCACAACATCAAGATAAAAGTTTCCCCCGCTACCTCACCTCAATGCCTCCAGGTACGAGGATTAGCTTCCAAGACCCCGCCGACAACAGCCTAAGACCCGCCCGCCTTCTGTGATCCCTCCACACGGTGTACTGAGGGAGGAGGCGTGCAGACTACAGTATGACAAGAGTGGACAAAGGAACTGAGTCAAGAGATCAGCGTTAAGGAACAGTACAGACATCTGCTTTAAGATAAACAAAGGTGATGGTGCGTAAATACTAGCATATATTAGGTAAGGAAATGATACTTCAAATGCAGCCTTTGAGGTGAGAGAGGAACTTGTTATCAAAGATTACAAGCGTGATACACTCCTGAGGATAAAAGGAGAGGAGTGACACCTTAAGAGGAAGAGACCGCTTCGCTTAGGACTGTTGAAAGCGGAACAAATATGCACAAAGGTCCCGTCAAAGTATACAATAGCGTCATCAGGCCTCCGTCTCCTCCCCGACAGCCTTGACACTGACCAGAGCGACGGGTTGTTCTACACAGTTGGAGGTGGCATCTCCCCTCCCGTAGTCCCGCACCACCGCCTCCATTGAGCTTGATTCCTCCAGCGCCTGCGGCTCCTCCTGTGGCGACATGAAGCCTGCAAGGGAGATGGGCTGTTAAAGGGGGAATGAAAGAGGCAGATGAAATGTGACACACACACACACACACTTTACTCACCCACTCACTCACCCACTCACTCACTCACTCACTCACTCACTCACTCACTCACACATGATATAACAGATAATACCATGTGTCCAGGGAGCTTTGTCACACCTGTACACTTTAACCATCATGAGTGTCCTTGTGTGTCAGTGACCTGTATATAAGTGACCCAGTTCAATGGGTTTAATGAAGGATTTTATGTATTAAGTGACCATAAATTATAATGAGTGAATGGGTGGGTTTGTCGCCTCAGTGAATGGCCCTCCTTATTAGTGACCTCAATGAGTGACCTGACCTTGACGGTTCTGTGCCCTGGCGTGCCTCACGAAGTGCCAGAGGGCGCAGGAGAGACCCACCACGGCTGCCATCACCAGGATCACCATCAGCACCAAGTGGGCCCACATCTGAGGCTCTGCAAAGTCAAAATGTCAAGTTACCTGGTGGACAGGATCATGTTGGGTCGAGTGATTTGATCTTGGGATCGTTTAAGGTCCGTAAATGGGGTCTTGTGGGGTCATTAATTTGCGTATGAGATCGTACGGGGTTATTGTGATGCTGATCAAGGTCATTGGGTGGAGAAATTTGACCTTGGAATCACATAGGGTTAGTAGCTGGGGTCTTGTGGGGTTATTACCTTGTGTAGTTATTACCTTGTGTAAGGAATAGTCTGGGGTCATTACAAGCTGATACATGAGGTTCAGGGTTAACAAGTAAATTTAATTGGAAGCTAAGGACATCTTCAGCATCTTACCGGAAATGGGTTAATTATCTTACTTATTTTGTTAACTTCATGGAAACCAAGAAATGATGTGTTAAAACAAATATGTAATTAAACTAGTTAATCAGAATATTTCCCTGAAGGTTTTGTTCTTTACTGTAGAGTTTATAATACAGTACAGTATAGGTAGTGAAAGACACATTTAGCTCCTCTGTACCGTCATCAAAGGTCCTCAGGTAAGGTTGTCGTCACTCTGGTGTCTTTCAGGAGTAACTTAACACACGGCTGAGACCCAATAATGGTTTTAAGTGGCCTTGTATTTAAAAATATGCTTGACATAAAAATAGTAATTTAGAGCTTTCAAAGACCTTGAGGCCATCAAACACTTTTTGGTGAGGCTTAAGAAACTTTTAACCTTGCTAGATAAACTCCCCTGTGGCGTGAGAAAGCTGTGATCTTTATAAGCCTGGATGTATCAGAGAGCCGTAGTGTTGCTGATCTGGCGTTATGAGACCCGGCAAACGTTGCCTTTATAGAGAAAAGTACGCCTACCTTTGTTGGCTTCCTCATGACATTTTGAGGGCTCTGCCGATCTCCTGGGAGAGCCGAGAATCGAACAGGTTGTTGGAAGAATCGAACAGCTCGGACGGGTCAACCTCAAACACCGACTGGTCGAAGGGCGTTAGGTCCTCGTCTACACTGTTGTCTTCTTCAGGCAGACTCACTCTGTAGGATACACATAATGTTATTGTTGAGACGAGAAGAGGAGGATATAACATACCAGACTTTACAGAGAGAGAGGAGGGAGGAGGGTAAATGTTCCTTCTCGAAACATAGACACTGACAGCATCAAGTTGTAGCCCTAACTCAGCAGTACGCTTCAACTGGTGGTATGAATGTCAGTCTTAATGACCCTCAATTTTAATAGGTCACGGTTTTAATTGGAGTGCAATATTAATGGGACCCAGTTGTAATGGAGGTCATTACTAGATTTCCACTCCCACCAGTTCAAGAGTTTGATGATCGGTTATGTGTTTGGGGAGAACTGTATAACTGAAACATTTAAAGTTGACACTTGTTCACTTTTCTCCCTCGTGTGTTTAGAAAATGTACCCCAATGTTGCCTCTGTTAAGTCATGTTTATAAAGTAATGCTGGCAAGAGGCCACTCATCACTCGGGCAGTGAAGAAGAAGAGCAGGAGGAGGAAGACGAGAAGGAGAACAAGAGAAGGAGGACGAAAAAAGAAGAGGAGGAGAGGGATGAAAATGAAGAACAGGAGGAGGGGAGAAAATGAAGAGAAAGAGGAGGAGGAAGAGGAGAAAGAAGAAGAAAAGGAGAAAGAAAAAAAGGAGGAGGGGGGGGAAGAGGCAGAGGAACAAGAGTGTTTTCTACTCTTCCAACTGCCTTGTGGACGACTGTGTTCAAACGAGAGGAAAACATGTACTGTATGTGCATCAGTGTAGGAACGAGACACTCTAGGAAGGTAGACACGAGACAGGAATACAAAAATTCTCAGTAAGGAACAGACAAATTAGAAACAATGGCCAAATCTAAACAAAAAAATTACCGAAAATAAGTAAACATTATATAAACAAGAGTAAAGAAAGAATGAAAAACCCTAAGGCGTCTTTTTTCGGTGATATATTTTTTAAAGGAAACACACAGAGTCACTTAGGGAAGATGGTGATAAGGGAGACTCGACCTTCCAGCTACGACACTAAAATAACGGGGGAAACTAGAGGAGGAAGAGGAGATGGTGAAGAAGAGGGAGGAAGAGGAGATGGTGAAGGAGAGGGAGGAAGAGGAGACGGTGAAGGAGAGGGAGGAAGAGGAGACGGTGAAGGAGAGGGAGGAAGAGAGAGTGAAGGAGAGGAGGAAGGGGAGATGGGAAGGAGAGGGAGGAAGAGGAGATGGTGAAGGAGAGGGAGGAAGGGGAGATGGTGAAGGAGAGGGAGAAGAGGAGACGGTGAAGGAGAGGGAGGAAGAGGTGGTGAAGGAGAGGAGGAAGAGGAGATGGTGAAGGAGAGGGAGGAAGGGAGATGGTGAAGGAGAGGGAGGAAGAGGAGAGAAGGAGAGGGAGGAAGGGGAGATGGTGAAGAGAGGGAGGAAGAGGGAGACGGAAGGAGAGGGAGGAAGAGGAGATGGTGAAGGAGAGGGAGGAAGGGGAGTGGTGAAGGAGAGGGGAGAAGGGGAGATGGTGAAGGAGAGGGAGGAAGGGAGATGGTGAAGGAGAGGAGGAAGAGGAGATGGTGAAGGAGAGGGAGGAAGAGGAGATGGTGAAGGAGAGGGGAGGAAGAGGAGATGGTGAAGGAGAGGGAGGAAGAGGAGATGGTGAAGGAGAGGAGGAAGAGGAGATGGTGAAGAAGAGGGAGGAAGAGGAGATGGCGAAGGAGAGGGAGGAAGGGAGATGGTGAAGGAGAGGGAGGAAGAGGAGATGGTGAAGGAGAGGGAGGAAGAGGAGATGGTGAAGGAGAGGGAGGAAGAGGAGATGGTGAAGGGAGGAAGAGAAGAGGAGATGGTGAAGGGGAGAGAGGGAGGAAGAGAGAGGAAGGAGAGGGAGGAAGAGGAGTGGTGAAGGAGAGGGAGGAAGAGGAGATGGTGAAGGAGAGGAGGAAGAGGAGATGGTGAAGGAGAGGGGAGGAAGAGGAGATGAAGGAGAGGGAGGAAGGGGAGATGGTGAAGGAGAGGAGGAAGAGGAGATGGTGAAGGAGAGGGGAGGAAGAGGAGATGGTGAAGGAGAGGGAGGAAGAGGAGATGGAGGAAGAGAGGGAGGAAGGGAGAGTGAAGGAGAGGGAGGAAGGGAGTGGTGAAGGAGAGGAGGAAGGGGAGATGGTGAAGGAGAGAGAGGAAGAGGAGATGGTGAAGGAGAGGGAGGAAGGGGAGGGTGAAGGAGAGGGAGGAAGAGGAGATGGTGAAGGAGAGGAGGAAATAGGAGATGGTGGAAGAAGAGGGAGGAAGAGGAGATGGTGAAGGAGAGGGAGGGGAGATGGTGAAGGAGAGGGAGGAAGGGGAGATGGTGAAGGAGAGGGGAGGAAGAGATGGTGAAGAAGAGGGAGGAAGAGGAGATGGTGAAGGAGAGGAGGAAGAGGAGATGGTGAAGGAGAGGGAGGAAGAGGAGATGGTGAAGGAGAGGGAGGAAGGGGAGATGGTGAAGGAGAGGAGGAAGAGGAGATGGTGAAGGAGAGAGAGGAAGAGAGATGGTGAAGGAGAGGGAGGAAGGGAGTGGTGAAGGAGAGGGAGGAAGGGGAGGGTGAAGGAGAGGAGGAAGAGGAGACGGTGAAGGAGAGGGAGGAAGGGAGATGGTGAAGGAGAGAGAGGAAGAGGAGATGGTGAAGGAGAGGGAGGAAGGGGAGTGGGGAAGGAGAGGGAGGAAGGGGAGGGTGAGAGGGAGGAAGAGGAGATGGTGAAGGAGAGGGAGGAAGGGGAGTGGTGAAGGAGAGGAGGAAGGGAGGAAGGAGAGGAGGAAGAGGAGACGGTGAAGGAGAGGGAGGAAGGAGATGGTGAAGGAGAGAGAGGAAGAGGAGATGGTGAAGGAGAGGGAGGAAGGGGAGTGGTGAAGGAGAGGGAGGAAGGGGAGTGGTGAAGGAGAGGGAGGAAGAGGAGATGGTGAAGGAGAGGGAGGAAGGGGAGTGGTGAAGGAGAGGGAGGACGAGATAGAATGACAAGGGTTAACAGAATCTAATAATGGCACTCTTTTATTATCATCATCCTCAAAGGGTTAAACCATCATCCTCAAAGGGTTAAACCATCATCCTCAAAAGGCTAAACCATCATCCTCAAAGGGTTAAACCATCATCCTCAAAGGGTTAAACCATCATCCTCAAAGGGTTAAACACTTACAGTATGTAAGGAGTGAATCACTTTACAAAGAGAGAACTGACCCTGCTCTGACGGTGAAGGTCTCAGGGATGTAGCTACACTTGACGAGGAACCTCCTGGTGGAGTGGGTGAGGATGGGGAGGTTCTCCTGCACGATGATGAATGTCATGACGGAGGTGTTGAGCACTTGGCTGCCGCACACCTCGTGGTCGATACTCAGCAGGTAGTTCGTCTGGGCACTGTCTTTTATGCCCTCCGTCCTACACCTCGGGTCGTCACTTCCCTCCACAGAGATCTGACGAGGAGGTCGTGTGTTAATGGTGAGAGTGACATGGGTTAAGGGTGGTACTGACAGTGTGTTAGTTGAGGTACTGACATTGTGTTAGTGGTGTTGCTGGCGTGTGTTGGTGATGCTGACAGTGTGTTAGTGGTGAAGCTGACAGTGTGTTAGTGGTGAAGCTGACAGTGTGTTAGTGGTGAAGCTGACAGTGTGTTAGTGGTGAAGCTGTCAGAGGGTGACCTTACCTTGCCCCCGAAGTTAGGTCCTGTGTCAACCTCGACGACACTGGAGTTGGCTAAGCACTGTGTGGCCCTGGCTGAGACTGTGGGCGAGATAACTTGTTTAGTACATGTTGAGAACCTCATCGTTATGGGTATAGTAAGTGGTAAGCGGGATACAGTTTAAATACATACATTGTGACGTTTTAAACAGGTTTACTACATGCATTGTTACGTATGATACAGGTTAAATATAAGTTTTGAGAGGTATTAGTCAGGTTTAGTACATGTATTCTGATGTGAAATGTTTAGTACACGTGATCTACCAAAAGGTCCTGTAGACCAACTCAACAGCCCCTGGTCCTGATGGTGCCCTTTGCAAGACCTAAAAATACCCCTTAAACTTGAGCCAATGTTGCAATTCACAGCCCTCAGCATAAACCCTAAAAGACCCCCTGAACTAAATTCTCTGTAACAACTCACAGCCCTTAGTTCTGATGGTGACCTCCTGGCCCAGGTGGGAGAGGTCTGAGGGATCGGTGTCAAGGACGGGCGTCACCTCCAGCGTGTAGTTGGTGGCCATCCTCAGCCCGTTCACCACCACCTCGAACTCCTTGTGGTTGGCATCTTGAGGACTCAGTTGCTTCCCCTCCCTCTCCTCCAGAAGCTGTGAGTGAGAGAGAGACAAGAGACGTTAGTGATGTGAGACACAGTGAGGAGAAGATGCTAATGCTCTCTGTCGTGTGTGTGTTTGTAGGGTGATGTATATTTGAGCATATGGATTTACTAATGAATGCAAGTATGTATGACTATATACGTCTACATGTACCAAAATATACAATATCTACAATAACTCCTACAATACGCCATCGTTCCATATTCCCCCGAACACCTTACGTTAGTTGAAATCAACAGACAATTGTATACGTGTGAAAGCATTTAGTCACGGTTGAGTATCAGAGAAGATTTAACGCCATCTTGACCGTTAACTTTGTGTTGTGGCTTTAAACTAGGAAAATGAATGACGTTTTGACTTTTCTTTCTGGTATAATTAGAAAGTTTAACTCAACATCTACAGATCATATATATGTTTGATTCTTTGTATCGTTCACCATAATGCATCACAGTTCACCATAATTCATCACATTCACAAACTCTCTCTCTCTCTCTCTCTCTCTCTCTCTCTCTCTCTCTCTCTCTCTCTCTCTCTCTCTCTCTCTCTCTCTCTCTCTCTCTCTCACCTGTTTCTTGCACCGATACTTCCCCCACGACTGGTCTTCACAGTAAGTGATGGTGAAGTGACTCAGGCTCCCCAACTCGGCTGTGTACTTCCAGTGGAGCTTCACTGACCGAAAGTCGGCTTCTCCCTCCAGCTGGTTGACGTCTGAGGGAAGGGACAGAGAGAGAGAGGGTGACCTTGTGATTACCTGTGTCTTGTGAAATTAACCTCTGTCCTGATATGCTCCCAGTTCTAATAGCTCCCAGTTCTAATAGCTCTTAGTTCTAATAGCTCCCAGTTCTAATACCTCCCAGTTCTAATAGCTCCCAGTTCTAATACCTCCCAGTTCTAATACCTCCCAGTTCTAATACCTCCCAGTTCTAATTGCTCCCAGTTCTAATTGCTCCCAGTTCTAATTGCTCCCAGTTCTAATTGCTCCCAGTTCTAATACCTCCCAGTTCTAATACCTCCCAGTTCTAATTGCTCCCAGTTCTAATTGCTCCCAGTTCTAATACCTCCCAGTTCTAATTGCTCCCAGTTCTAATACCTCCCAGTTCTAATAGCTCTTCGTTCTAATAGCTCCCAGTTCTAATACCTCCCAGTTCTAATACCTCCCAGTTCTAATACCTCCCAGTTCTAATTGCTCCCAGTTCTAATTGCTCCCAGTTCTAATTGCTCCCAGTTCATGCCTCCAGTTCTAAATTATACGGTTCCATACCTCCAGTTCCTAATACCTCCAGTTCTAATTGCTCCCAGTTCTAATTGCTCCCAGTTCTTCCTCCAGTTCTAATAGCTCCCAGTTCTAATGACTCTTCGTTCTAATAGCTCGTTCTAATACCTCCCAGTTTCCTAATACCTCCCAGTTCCTATCCTCCCAGTTCTAGCCGCTCCAGTTCTAATAGCTCTTCGTTCCTATGGCTCCCGTTCTAATAGCTCCCAGTTCTAATACCTCCCCAGTTCTATGCACCAGTTCTAATACCTCCAGTTCTAATACCTCCCAGACCTAATAGCTCCCAGTTTCTAATTGCTCCCAGTTCTAATACCTCCAGTTCATGGCTCACTTAGATTTCCTAATAGCTCCCAGTTCTAATAGCTCCCAGTTCTAATAGCTCTTCGTTCTAATAGCTCCCAGTTCTAATACCTCCCAGTTCTAATACCTCCCAGTTCTAATACCTCCCAGTTCTAATACCTCCCAGTTCTAATAGCTCCCAGTTCTAATAGCTCTTCGTTCTAATAGCTCCCAGTTCTAATACCTCCCAGTTCTAATACCTCCCAGTTCTAATAGCTCCCAGTTCTAATAGCTCCCAGTTCTAATTGCTCCCAGTTCTAATAAGCGCCAGTTTTAATAGGTCCCAGTTCTAATAGACCCCAGTTCTGTTAGGTCTCAGTTCTAATAGGTCCCATACGAGTTAGTTAAAACAACAATATTCCTTAATCATCTGGTGACATAAGCTGCCGCGTCTAATGTTCATGTAATCCATTTTTTTGTGTTGTATTTAATCATCAGAAACATTTAAAGTAAACTACAAATGCGTTAAAATTCTCAGCATGATACACATTGGTCATTGAACCCGGAGCAGTCGACCGTGTTATTGAAGAGGTACACCCAGACCTGTGTCCTGCACCCTTCCTACTGCACCCTTCCTACTGCACCCTTCCCCCTACACCCTTCCCCCTGCACCCTTCTCCCTGAACTCCTAACATACACACTGGATTCAGTGATTTGCTTTTATATTTTCAATGTTAAATACATTTTACTGGACTAATTAATCAAGCTTGTGTGTTTCCAAAGCTTCACTTTCATATAAATGAGTAAAGCAGGAGCTGGAGAACTCGGAGAAATGCTGCCACGTTTATTATGTTCAATTTGTTTCACGTTTTGTAAATTCAAGCAAGACTACAACCATCTCACATCCGACCTGACCTGACCTAACCTAACCCGCGTCGCAGTAGTGAGGGGCATGCGTCTAACCTCCCCTCCACTAACAATTATTCAACATTACGAGTTAAACAATTCAGAATAATCTACATTGATTTTTCCCCCATTGTATTTAAAAGAATATAAGATTTAGATATAGCTTTTGTATATATTTCTAACTACAGGAAGTTCAGTTTCATTTTTTGTGTACTGTTATAATTATTAAAATAGAAATGAGGTTGGGAGTTACCTGGAACAGCCATCGTAACAGGGATGAGGACCAATAAACTGAACAGCGCCATCACCGCCATCTTCTTCATCTGTAAAGCAAAAAATAGATAAATACAAATTAATTTTTATCATAAAAAATGGAAGATAGATTATTTTAGTTATGTTTTTATACTTAAAGACAGGATCAGTACACCCATGTACCAATACGCTGGATCCCAACCCGGAAATAATAGGTCGTTTTTAGCACACTATTTCCTAACTCTGGTGATTATTAAATGTCACTCACTCGATGAAATTGGTGTGGGATATAGAAATGGCTGTTGTTTGTTAGTCTGTCTGTTTGTTTGTTCTGTCAGTACGGTCTGTGGGTCTCTTGTCTGTATATCCATCTGTATGATCTCTGGCACGGTCTCTTGTCTGTATATCCATCTGTCTGGCACGGTCTGGATCTCTGGCACGGTCTGGTACACTGGGTCTGGCACAGTCGGTCTGGCACGGTCTGGTACGGTCTGGCACGGTCTGGCACGGTCTGGTACGGTCTGGCATCTGGGTCTGGCACGGTCTGGCACGGTCTGGTACGGTCTGGCACGGTCTGGCACGGTCTGGCACGGTCTGGCACGGTCTGGCACGGTCTGGCACGGTCTGGTACGGTTTGGCACAATATTAGCTAAAAGGCAAGAACTACTACACGAGTCTGGAGTCGTATACTCCCCTACCTAACCCTGCCTTCTCCTGCCTTACCCTACTTTGTTCTACTTTACCCTGCCTTGTCCTCCCCTCCCTTTCCCTGCCTTCGTTCTCCCCTGCCTCCCTTCCCCTGCCTCTCCTCCCCTGTCTTCCTCTCTCCTCCCCTGCCTTCCCCTCCCTCCCCGCGGCCTATCCTGGTCTCTGCCATAACAATCTTTACATAAGTGCAATATCCTGTTATTCTATTAAGGACATGTTATGTGTACTAAAAATTTATATTACTGTATATGAAGGTTCTTATAGTAAAAATATTTTCTTGCCATACTTGATAGAATTTAATATAAAAATCATCCTTAAGAGATTTTTTCATAGAATCCTTTAGTAATCCTGTAAGAAGATCTTTAAAACGTCTGAACTTCTGACAGTAAACAAGATCAAATGTTACTCTCAAAGTTTACTGATGCATTTTTTTATAGGTAGAGAGAGTACATATTATTTTAGTAGTGTTCAGTTATTTATAACATACTGTAGTCTTGAGAATATTCCCCTGTCAAAACTCCATTACCCAGGGCAACACTTGATGGTAAGAAGTTATCACACTCTTGCAACATTATTAACAATTCGTTTAGCAAGTTTAACAGACCGAGTTGGTGCAGCGCTTGGGTCCTGTCCTTAGGGTCAGTAAATTGCCCTTAGAGCTCCCCAGTTCACTCAACTCTGGATGGGTCCCTAACTTTATAGTTGGGGTAATGAAGTGTGTCAAGAGTAGTGTCGTTCACAATGCCTGCTTATGTACCGAAAAAGGCTTAGTGTTAAAGTGTGGTGTGACACTGCCCCTACGGGAGCCACTACCAACCTGGTGGAGGATAAACTTGTAAGACAATGCTGCTTGAATGAGTTCGCAAGTGCTAAACAAATTTATTCCAACAAATGATGTTTTTATCATAGAAGCAATGGTTGCCATCCTTAACTAAGGCTGCAACACATCGTCACTGGCCTCTGTTCGCCTGTGTAACTCTTCACGGAGACAGACGAACAGGAGATGGCAGCGACTCCCATTCCCTGTTGAGAGACACCCGACGCTCGCGAGCAGGACGCAGGCTGCTAGGTCACCCCGCTACCTGTGCTCATTACCGAGTCATTAAACCCAGAATGTTTTAATGAGATAATGAAGTCAGGAGTCCAGAGGCTTTCTTAATTACTGTTATGCGTTTCATTAAGTTTTTTAATTCCGTCTGGGTGTTCAGTTGAAGGTCTTTGGGTGTGTGGGTGGTGATAGGGTGTGTGTGGCGATGGTAGGGTGTGTGTGGCGATGGTAGGGTGTGTGTGGCGGCGGTAGGGTGTGTGTGGTGGTAGTAGGGTGTGTGTGGTGGTAGTAGGGTGGGTGTATGTGGTGGTGGTGGTGGAGGTAAGCTGAGAGTGAGAAAATGGGTGACGAGGGAGAGGAGGGTGGAGGAGTGAGTGGTGAAGGAGAGGAGGGTGGAGGAGTGAGTGGTGAAGGAGAGGAGGGTGGAGGAGTGAGTGGTGAAAGGGGGGAGGGCGGAGGAGTGAGTGGTGAGGGAGAGGAGGGTGGAGGAGGGAAGGAGCGACAGGTGGCAGCCTTAGCAGTTCAGTGGGTCAGCTGGCTGTTGGCCTAGGTTGTTTTCTCTCACAGCGTCACACAGCCCACAGAGTCACCACCATTACCCACACTCACAGCCTACAGCGCCACCACACGGCCCACAGAGTCACCACCATTACCCACACTCACAGCCTACAGCGCCACCACACGGCCCACAGAGTCACCACCATTACCCACACTCACAGCCTACAGCGCCACCACACGGCCCACAGCGTCAAGCAGGAACGTCACAGGAGGAGGAAGAAAGTGACGATTAAAGGAAAGGAGAGAAGAATGAGAAGGAGGGAGAATGAAAGGGAGGAAGGAGAGGGAGAGAGGGAGAGAGGAATAAGAGGGAGGAAGGAGAGGGAGGGAGGGAGGGAGAGTAGTCCTCAGACCTCACGCTCGTTACAGTTCTCGAGGAGGATCAGTGTTTGTGCTAGATTCGTAGAAAATTTTTCTTAACGACGTTCACGTGATACAGAGCCCGGAGCTGTGAACGTGGAGGCGGCGGTTCACTCAATTCCCCAATAATCGTTAAATTTGGTGGACGATATAATGATAAAGGCGTGGTGTCAGCTTTCCTTAAGAGGCTAAAAACTTATCGAATCTCTTTCATTGTTCTGTAAACCGTAAATAATGATGTTATCTGTTATCTGTGACAATTTAAAAAAGATAATTTATACATGATGTCAACCATGATATAGTATTTCGTGTTAAAAATATAATAATGAAAATTTGTCTTAATATCTTAATATCGGTACAAGGCAGGTACACTGAGCTCACACACACACACACACACACACACACACACACTACCCGTCACTCACCTAACATGCAGATAATTACTAGGAAATAGAAACATGAAAAGACCCATCAAGCGCCACCATGATAACCCACCTCACCCTAGCGTGTCCCTCCCTCTATGATCACGAGAGAACCAGATGACATACTGTGGGACTCAGTGCTAAGGCGAAACATTTATTTACCGTACTTAAACACCTAGTAAGACCTACAGTAAGTGTTTCCCACTCACTCACTCACTCACTTACTCACTCACTCACTTGCTCACTTACTCACTCACTCACTTACTTACTCACTCACTCACTTACTCACTCACTCACTCACTCACTGTATGATATAAACAGTAAAGAAATGTTCAAAGTCTTGGTCTCTGTTAAGTACATTTTGTTAAGTCTTTACATTAACTTGTGTATAGTTTATCAACATTTCACAGGGATATATTTCATCACTCGATTAGATGTTAATATAACCTAAGACAAATGATACAAGAAACACTAGTGAGATTTACTGTATTTAACGACCAATAATGACAAGCTGCTCAGATGTTGATTGCATATAACATGGTGGGTTACCTGAAGTGTGTCTCATTAACACGTGATTCAATGATACTCCTTATGTTGGTCTACGTTCATGTTGATTTTGATGTGTATATGTTTATGTGAAGTGTTGTTTTATGTATACTGAGTGAAGTTGTTTTATGTATACTGAGTGAAGTTGTTTTATGTATACTGAGTGAAGTTGTTTTATGTATACTGAGTGAAGTTGTTTTATGTATACTGAGTGAAGTTGTTTTATGTATACTGAGTGTAGTGTTGTTTTAACAGACTACAGCATAATGTTGGTTTAAGTTCATTGTTACTTTACTAGTATTCCTCTAAAAAAATATACGACCACAAAATTACACTCAATATATAATAAATTAGACACGTTCACTTCACACAAGACAAATTAATTCATACCGTGCTTGTTCTCTCTTAAGTAGAGTGTAAAGTGATTGTATCTACTTAAACTAACCTCGGTATCATTTTGTCGCGATTTCTAAGTAATTTTAAGTAATTTTTATACTTAATTTTAAAATCAAGGTAGTTAAGTTACATTCTCGCATCCTATGAGTAAAATCCACATAAGACAATTTGTGAATCTGGAGTCTGTTGTTGTCAGGTAAGTGGATTTGGAAACTTTTGCAATGGGAGTGGATGGGACGATAATGACTCTCCATTGTCTGTAATTTTCGCTGCAACAGGTTTGAGGGTTGGAGACTGTGTGTGTGTGTGTGTGTGTGTGTGTGTGTGTGTGTGTATGACAGACAGACAGACAGAGGAAATTAAGAAAAGTGGGAGATGGGAAAAGAAGGAAAGAAAGGAGGATGGATATAGGAAAATGAGTAAATATGGAGATAGAACATTAAAGGAGGGAAATTGGAGAATGGGGGAAAAAGAGAAGGGAAATTGAGGAAGGCAGGTAGAGAAAGTGTTGATGTAATGTGCGTGAGTTATAACAGTGACATAATGTTACGGTACGATATTGTGTAACACTTCCTGGGAGAGAGAGAGGAATAAACAGAGAGAGAGATAAAAAAAGAAAGAATGATAGAAATAAAGAGAAGGAGAAAGAGAGAGAGAAATCTGGAATTTCCTCCTTCTCTGTTAATAGACGTCAGAACCTTCTACCTACACTTTACAACTAATATCTGCACTGGTAAGGATCGTTTATGGTTTTAGCTCGCCTGTATTAAAAGCTAAATAACTCCCGCTATACCCTAAGTACAGTAGTCGTCGTCGTGTTTGCTGCCCCGTTCATCCTCTGGTGTTGACAAATGCTAAGCGTTCGTTTTTACTTTATTTCAATCGGTTATACTTCAATATTCAGTAATCCCTACCACCTTCCTCGTCACACTTCTCTTCCTCCTCCCACCTTTTGTCCTTCCATGCTCCACCTCCTCCTACCTCTCCCTCCCACGCTGCCACCTCTCTTCCTCCTCCTCTCCTATGTACCTGGCTTTGATGTGGAGTCAACAATGAGATAATAAATCAGCTTTGGTTTGATCATTTCCTGCACCAGATGTTAGTGCTGTCATCATCCCACCTCGATGTGTCTGGCTGTGTGGCTCCTGTACAGACTAACGGAATTGAACCTAGCATATCCTAGTCTGATTTACTCTAACCTAATATGTCTTTAACCTAACCTAATCTAACTTAATCTAATCAAACATCTCCTGACATGACATCACCTCAACCCTGAACTTGACATGGTTGAAGAGGTCATCTTAAGGTTTGGTAAGGAGTAGAGGCCGATGATTGTCCCCAGATCGTGTGCTGGATGACCTTGTCCGGTACAGGCAAGCAAGGAAGAGATGACGTCAAGTAGTAGACATGTGGCCTCCCTCAGACCTTAGACAAGTAGCCGGACAATCAGCCGGTCTCTTAGTTTAGTCGTTTCAGCCATATATCTAGCCACTTCATTATAGTATTGATATGAATTAAGACATTCCAGCCAATTTAGACATCTCAGACATCCGATCATTTTAACGCTACAGTATACAGTTCTCTAGCTTGCTCCTTATACAAAAGACACCCAGCCCATTTTTCACTCCCTAGATATGTGTACAGAAGTATGTGTGTATGTATGTGTATGGAAGTATGTGTGTATGTATGTGTATAGAAGTATGTGTGTATGTATAAGGGGTCAGGTGTACCATCAGGTGTGGAGGTGACCAGGTGAGAATGGGGCCAGGTGGGGGGGATGGGGGCCAGGTGGAGTGAGGGCGGGGATATCACACGTCCCGCTCTATTACCCATGAGATTCTTGAGGTGAGGGCGGGAACTTCACGTCCACCCACCACTGCCCACCACCGCCCTCTTTATTGTGGGAGGTGTGTGGGCGTCAGGTGTGGGTGTGTGGACGACAGGTGTGGATGCGTGGGCGTCAGGTATAGTGGTGTGGGCGACAGGTGTGGGTATGTGGGCGTCATGTGTAGGTATGTGGGCGACAGGTATGGGTGTGTTGGCGACAGGTGTGGGCGTCAGATGTGGATGTGGAAGGCATTATTCTCTCATTATGTGGATGACTGGGTATGAGGAAGGAGAACATGTAGGTTGTTCTACAGCCTACAGCACAGGCCGTTACCACAAGCTGTAGATCAGGGGTGTCAAACTCATGGCCCGTGGGCCAAATGTGGCCCGCGGGATGGTCAGGTGTGGCCCGCGGGATGACGGTAAAATTTATCATCGCGTGAAATTATGAAAGAAAGAAATATAATCAGGTTTATTAAGTAAAGTGAAGTTGACATACTTAAGATGAGACAAACCCAAATGAGGTATTCCTGGTAAGGCAATGTGTGAAGCTGTAAACTTCAATCCTGCAAATATGTGATATAGCGCTTGTGTTGGCCCTGAAGAGGGCAATTGAAATAAGAATTGGCCCTCGAAAGGTTTTGAGTTTGACACCACTGCTGTAGGTAATGTATGGTCAGTGTTACCAACCTAGAGCGTCGTGTGTGTGTGGGGCTATAGTGTACACAACAGCCCCTTGAAGGTCGTGTTGTTTGGTGTTCGTTGTTGTGTCATGTAGTGTTGGGTCTCCCTCCCTTCTTCCCTCCCTCCTTCTTTTCCCCCGTCCTCTCCCCTCCCTACTTCTCTCCCTCCTTCCCTCTCTCCTTCTCTCCATCCCTCTTTCCCTCGTTCCCTCCCTCCCCCTCCCTTCCTCCTTGTCTCCCTCCCTTCTTCCCTCGCTCCCTCCTTCTCTCCCTCCCTCCTTCCCTCGCCCCGTCCTTCTTTCCCCCCTCCCTCCCTCCTTTTCTCCCTCCCTCCCTCCGTACTGTGCTTGTCCAGTCGTCTCTCATCAAGTTACCAAGTCTTACAGGAACTGGGATCCATCTGACTAGTCATCCGTGCAACAGGTGTGTGAGCGGCCCATCAGAGTATACACAGAAACTCATCCACCGCGTGTTCAGTAAAGCAAGAGGCACCAGGTCGTCCGCACTACATGAACCTTCCAATACATAATTCAGTTTCCATTACTTGGTGGCTTTACGATTTTGAACTAATGGATTTTATCTTGTGTTCAGATTCGATTGAGAACGGATTTATGCACACAAAATTTCCCTCGCGTCCTTACCACATAACCTCTTCATGTGAAAACTGTGTGTACCCAATAGTAAGAGGTCATCCCGTCAAAGCACCGCGTGAACGAGATCTATTAAAAACAGACGCAACCTTGGCTTTCAGTGTAAATAGATTATCCACTTGTTCTTTATGTAACTTCACTTTATATTCACAACCAAATCCGCTGTGATTATATTAATATACACATGTTTAAATACTCGAGAAATCCAGCATAATCTCAGGTGACACTTAAGCTTACTTGTATGTGTACTGTATATGTCCTCCACGTCCATCTCACAGAAAGAGAAATTTGAATTATAATGGAACTCCTGCTTCCTACACACACACACACGCACACACACACTCACCTGGTGGAGGCAGCGTGAGTCATATATCAGGAGAGAAAATAAGATGGATTGCTGAGCTAACTTCGTGAGTGAGTGACTACGTCTTGTACAGGTTTGGTGAAGGTGAAAAATGACTTACAATTTCTATATACGAAGAATTAGTGTTGACAGGAGCCCGGAACCTGCATATCACCTAAACTGACTCTTACCTTACCTGACCTTACTTGACCTAACCTAACCTAACTTGACCTAACTTAACTTAACGTAACCTTATGTAGCCTAACTTAGTTGTCGTAAATCGCAAGTATGAGGTAGAATCTGGAAGGCATATTGTAACGTATGGTAGATACATGGCAGCATTTGGTAGATATATGCTAGACTGTAACAATAAATAAAACGTTCGGGAACTCAATGTAAATGTGATCTATAAATCCGAGAATCCGACTCCACTGACAGCGTTCGGGGAATACATCCATACGTACCATCTGTGTCCAGTTGTCTCCTTCAAGCTGACTTCTGAAAATGATAAAAATTATATGATTTTTGTTTCTATATATAATAACTAAATGACTAACATTCTTCCTCTATTTATCTATCTATCTAACCATCTATCTCCCTGCAAGTGAGAGACCCAGTGTTTAAGAGCGGACGATCATTTTCAAAGTTTCCCTCATTGCACGTCACCAAGTACCTCAGTGAACGTGAGGAGGAACTATGCATCAGCGCTCACATCATTCCGGGAAGACGAGGATGAGAAAATCGAGAATAAGTTGAACCTCTAACGGTAGAGGAGAATGTGTTCGTTTAACACCAGGACAAAGCGATACGCCAGATTACATTAGTGGCTTCGTTTTGTGCTGCAGGTTTTCTCTAGCCGTTTATAATGTGTATTTCCTCTGTCTTTTTTGTGTGACTATTCTTGATTCGTTGCCCTGCTTATATACCCCTTATATGGGTTAGGGTCAACTTGCACTTAATCATGTCACTCGGGAAATTTCTCGGTTTAGTTCCTCTTGTAATTATCTTCCGTGGATTTATCTTACACACACACACACACACACACACACACACACACACACACACACACACACACACACACACACACACATGAACACATCACCCATAAACAGAGGAGTCCCAGAGTCCCACCTTGGGTACTCCTGTAGTGCGGGGAGGATGGGTGAGACAAGAGGGGATCCATTCAGGTTCCGGAAGCTGCGTTACCCTCTGTCTCTCAACTATGTCATTACCTCCCTCATCTTCTCCTTTCTTACTTTCCTCTCTCTTCCTCTCTCTTCCTTCCACTGTGGGCGTGCGTGCCTAACACACTTGAAATAACGATAATTACAAAAGAAGATAATGAATAAACATGTCAAAGGATGGAAACAAAAATAACAAAGGCTAAGCCAAAATAGTGGGGGGGGGGAGGGGATTTTTCCCTAGATTTCCCCTAACACTTTCCGCTCATAACTTCCGGTGGGGAAATACTCAACACTTCCCCCGCCCCAGTTTAGTGTTGGTGTGTTGTAGTATGAACGCCCAGATCACGCGTTCCTCTCTTTCTCTGGTTCATGCAATTACTGTCTCTCTCTCTCTCTCTCTCTCTCTCTCTCTCTCTCTCTCTCTCTCTCTCTCTCTCTCTCTCTCTCCCAGACTACCATGGTTGACAGTCAGACACCTACCCACTAGACATACAAATACAGTGTACAAATTCTCGCGCCGCTGCTCCAAAAATACAATATTTACCTCGGTGGAATTTTTTTTAAATCTATCGCCTGGAAAACGTGTTGCATGTAAACAATTCCGTATTTTCACTCATCTTGCATAATTAAAAGTTGGAGATCCATGTTTATTTTGAAATAGGAAAAAATTATTGTTGTCGGTGATTATTTCATTAAGGTGATTTTGATAGAGAATTTTGCTGCAGTATATCGTCCTGGGCTAATGTAGTCCCCATAATATTGTCATCTGTGTACTATTCCTGAACTCAGGTATTGAAATGTCTCTTAAACGTGTTCTCATGACAATTATTCAGGTTTACGCGATATTATTTGTGCTGTGATATTGTGTAGTTAATGAGGTTCATTTTGTCATGGATGAATGAAAACAACAAAATCATTGAGAATTAATGACCCATGGTAGATTGTTAGGGAAAAAGAGCTTTGAGAAAAGTGTGTGCGCGTGTGTGCGTGTATGTATGGACACACACACACACACACACACACACACACACATATATACACATGCGTCACCTGTTATTATGACCACACCCGCCGCTGACCCGTGACGTCACGAGCACTGGCCGGACTCGTAACTTCCTGTGTTGGCAGTGAGTTTCCGGCTGTGGGGAAAGGCGGGTGTGACGGACGTCCGGCCGGCCACCCGCCCCTCTCAACCCCAGCCCGCCCCTCTCACCACCAGCCCGCCCCTCACTCACCCCCGCCCCTCACTCACCCCCGCCCCTCCCCACCCCGCCACTCAATCACCCCGCCCTCCTCACTCACCACCTCACCACCCCCGCCCCTCAATCACCCCCGCCCTCCTCCCCCCCACTCACCCCGCCCCTCCTCACCCCGCCCTCCTCACCCCCCCTCACTCACTCAATCACCCCGCCCCTCCTCACCCCCCGCCCCTCACTCACCCCCGCCCTCAATCCCCCCACTCCTCACCCCGCCCCTCACTCACCCCCGCCACTCAATCACCCCCGCCCCTCCTCACCCCCCTCACCATCAATCACCCCGCCCCTCCCACTCCCCCCCCCCACTCAATCACCCCTGCCCCTCCTCCCCCCGCCTTCCCACCCCCGCCACTCAATCACCCCCGCCATCTCACCCCCCCCCTCCTCACCCCCCACTCACTCAATCACCCCGCCCTCACTCACCCCGCCCCTCCTCCCCCCCGCCACTCAATCACCCCGCCCTCACTCACCCCCCCCCCTCCTCACCCCGCCACTCACCCCGCCCCCGCCCTCCTCACCCCACCCTCAATCACCCCGCCCTCCTCACCCCTCCACTCCCCCCCTCCTCACCCCGCCCCACTCACCCCGCCACCCACTCACCCCCTCCCTCCTCACCCCCCGCCCCTCACTCATCCCTCTCACTCACCATACCCTCCTCACACCCCCCCTCCTCACCCCCACTCACTCAGGTACCAGCTGCTCACTCACTCACCCCGCCACTCCTCTCCACCCCGCCGGTGCCCCTCAACACAAGGGGAGAAGCTCACTAACAGTATCACCTAAAGCCGTTGTACAATAATCAAGCTAACGACATCAACGGTAAAGAAGGAACCAGTAAATGCAAAACCAGCAACAGTTGGAGTAACGGTCACGACAACTACGGCAGGGAAGTCCACGAAGGAATTTGGTCAAAATAAGGATTATTATGCGTTGCCCGAGCGTCTCCCACACAAGGGATAGTGAGCCATTATTATACTTATGATGGTGAGAAGAGGCGTCCATAAACATAGACACAAGAAAAAAATGGAATTTAAGTGGATAAATAGGTTAAGGAAAGTTTGATAAATAGTAATGCGAGAAACGAGAATAAAACTAGACATATGAATAAAAGAATAATGGAAAGAGAAGTCAATTATACTGGAAAATTAAAGAAACTAAACCATTATTTTGTTGAAGCAAACGAAGATAAAATTACAGTAGACGCAATAAAGATAAAAATTATAAGAGAACAATAACCTGGGGGGTAAAATGAGGAAGGCGATAATGATGCGAAGAAGGACAAATGAGAATAAACATCGAGGGGAGGAAGATGGGGAATCGGAATGGCTAGAGAGACGAACGTTGAGAAATGAGCGGAAACTCCACAACTCCAAAGAGAACAATTTACGGTAGTTGTGGCGGCTGAGATAAACACCAACCAGACACAATAAAGATAAGAATTAAGCGTAAAGGCGAGGAACTACCTGGCAGGAAGTCGACAAATAGATGGAATTAGGAGAAAAAGAGGATAGAATTGTCCAAATGTTCCCGTGCAGTGGATGGAACAGCGATGGAGTTTATAGCCAAGATTGAGAGAGGGAGAAAGACATACAGGACAGAGAATGAGAGAGAAGGAATAACAATAAGACCAAGAGTGTCGAATAATAAGCAACAGGAGCAATAACTACAGGACGTTGTTGGAGGATGAGGGACATTGTTGAAGGATGAGGGGCATTGTTGGAGGATGGAGGGCATTGTTGGAGGATGGAGGGCATTGTTGGAGGATGGAGGGCATTGTTGGAAGGAGGAGTGCGTTGTCCGAGGTGGAGGGCATTGTTGGAGGGAGGAGGGCGTCGTTGGAAAATGGAGGGCATTGTTGGAGGATGGAGGGCGGGATAGATGTTAACACTGGGTGGAGGGCGGGTGCCACATCATCTATTGGCCACTTGGGCTCTGATGACCTTGTTGGCCCTCATTACTCCCAACATACATTAACCTTCCTTTTGTCGGGTCTTTGTCCAACCCTCCCCCCCTCCCCCCCCACCCGTGTCCACCCTTGTTATTGATGTCCACCCAAGGCAATGTGGCAGTGTCATCCACCCACGACAATATGAAAATTTTCACCCCATGTCAAAGGAATCCAACCCTGATATCCACCCACTGCTCAGTCTATGTCACCATGTCCAATTTATGCATCCATTTTACCCATCCATTCTAGGGTTCTGAACCTCTCTAAGTATAATATCAGTGGTTTCAATGTCTATAAGGAGTTCAGGGTCCCTATAAGGGGTTCAATATCTCTATAAGGGGTTCACTGTCTCTCTAAGGGGTTCAATGTCTCTATAAGGGGTTCAATGTCTCTATAAGGGGTTCAATGTCTATAAGGGGTTCAATGTCTATAAGGGGTTCAATGTCTCTATAAGGGGTTTAATGTCTCTATAAGGGGTTCAATGTCTATAAGGGGTTCAATGTCTCTTTAAGGGGTTCAATGTCTATAAGGGGTTCAATGTCTATAAGGGGTTCAATGTCTCTTTAAGGGGTTCAATGTCTCTATAAGGGATTCAACGTCTGTATAAGGGGTTCAATGTCCCTATAAGGGGTTTATTGTTTCTAAAGTCTAAGGGGTTTCAGTATTTTTTCAACATATATCTGAGATTTTAATATTTCTGTTTCACCATTTCACCGCGGCCTTGCCTATCATTACCTCACCGCCAACCACTAATACACCCAGGTCAGAGGTCAAGGTGTTATTTTATACAGGAATTTTGGGTGTAACAAATTCTAAACGGAAAAAAAATTGTTGTTACAAGCGCCACTCTGAATAGGAATATGGTGTAACAAGCTCTGGGCAAAGGTTAGGTTAGGTTAGGTGTTATAACATATACAAGCAACAATAACTTAGTCTAATAGGCGTTAGGTAGAGCAAGAAAGAGGAGAAAGACTTAGGAGAGAGAAGTATAGAAGGAGGAGAAACAGGAGGGAGGGAGGGTAGCCGCTCCGGGCGACATTGGAAGGTCGTGATTGTGAGAGAGGGAGAGAGGGAGGGAGGGAGGGAGGGAGTTGGTGGCGACGTCCCTCA